TTTAAATCATTTAACTTATATTTATAAGTATACTGAAATGATTGATGGTAATTATCAATGCCAGGTTGAATTTTTATCATAAAATAGTAATGGAACGTTCCCTGAATGCGTTCTCAGAGGATATTTATTGAATCTGTCATTCGAATTCAGAACAGTCCTATAAATAAGTGTTCGGAAAATATGTAGACCGAAAATTTGAATTTGATTTAAAATTCTGAAAAAACGTTGATGACAGCACAAGAAACTGAAGTAGTGCGAGCAAATTAGCACGAACTCCATCCATATCAACTGATTAATAACAAGAGCGCAACACTAACTGGATAACATCCACCAGAAAGAGCTTTTCCCAAGGTCACGATGTCCGGTCGAACGTTTTCGTGGTGTGTACATAATAACCTCAAGTAACATTAATGTATCCATATACTCTCCATTCGAGGATCTATTCATGCTATTTCGTTGTATAAAAGTGCATTTTATCAATCAAAAATTTCGAAGCGATCGTCACAACGGTATGAGATGAAGAGTATATTATTATCGAAAGTGTTTGCTGACGATAAAACGAACACATTGATTGATTCAAGTATATGTGTTTTGAATTGCATTCAAATATTTCAAGACATTCATTTTGTATTTTCAACAAAGTTTTTCAAAATACAATATGTGTGTGTCCTGGAATTTCACTCACTTTCCTGTGCGTCCCAGTCCAGTTTGCACTTCGTCAGCAATGAAGAGCACGTTGTGCTTCGTGCAAAGTTCTCGAACTCCTTTGAGGTAACCGTCATCGGGTACCACAACACCCGCCTCACCTTGTATCGGTTCCACCATGAAGGCAGCGGTTTTTGGATCACTTATCGATTTCTGCAAATAAAATAAATTGTTTAATTTGAATTGGAACATCTGATTCACATTACTGCCCTTCCTAATTATTTGATAAAGTTTCAAAATTGCTGCATTTCTGGATTTTTTTTTNTTTTTTTTTCAAAATTTCGATATTCAACAGAAATTCTGTTTGTTCTGTTGAGGCAATATTCATAAAACTTGAAACAACTGTTTCTCGTTAATATTCACAATTGTACTGAGTCTATGATTCAATAACGAATGAACCTCAAGTGCTTCAAGATCATTATATGGTATTTTCTCGAATCCTGGCAGAAACGGTCCAAATCCACCGTAACTCTCCGGATCGGTGGAAGATGATACGGCTGCAATACTACGACCCCAAAAGTTGTCATTGGCCATCACCACTTTTGCTTCATAGTGTGGTATTTTCTTGACGTCGTATGCCCATCGACGTGCCAGCTTGACGGCTGATTCACACGCCTCAACACCTATCAATCAAATAATCATTTCATGCAGTCTCCTTGAATTTCCATGAAATGAATTCATTCATAAAACTACTAATAATTCAACGGCCTTTTCATTTGTGTCAAATCAACTTTTGTAACAAAATGCAGAGCATTATTCTGAATCATGCTTAGTAATGCACACGATAATCATCTGATTTGACGGTTGTCGATGCAGAATAATATTTTTACAATCAATTCAACACCTTCATTTTGCACCATAAGAATTGAGCCGAGTATTTCTAGGTCACTTCTACCTACCAAGAAAATCTTCAAAAATGCAGACGAGGGAATACATTTATCGAGCGGTTGTTCAGAATTGGACTTTTTCCAGGCAATACTCCTTCGATCACTGTTACAGTTGGGTTACTTGCCACCGATCGAAACCGAAACCGAGTGTTCGATCGGCGAGTACCAAAAGTCGGTTTTCAGTGGTCACCGACCGGAAGCTGAAGTGATCATCTTCGGTGGTCACCGAAAATCGGGGGCCAACGAAAAACATCCTTTGGTTTCCAGATCTAGTCGTTACCACTACCGAAAGGTGTCTCAATAAGCGTTCAGCGCCGTGTGCCACATTGTTCAATCATTTTCGTGATTCAGTCAAAAATTATTGTAAACTGGATGAAATCCTATGGAATCCGATAGTATATGCAAGTGCAGTATTTCACACAGTCGTGCATACAGCAATCATGATATGCACAAAAGCTCTACCTGTATTCATTGGCAGTACTTTATCATAACCAAATAACTTCGTTATGAACTCTTCATACTCTCCAAGCACATCATTGAAGAACGCTCTTGACGTCAGTGTTAATATATCGGCTTGATCTTTCAGTGCCTTCAAGAGATTTCAGTATGTGTTTCAGTGATACGGAGATGAATCCAATATCAGATAAGCACGCCGTCAACTCATCCTTTTCAGTAAATTATAGTCTTAATAGAAAATGAGTTGATAAGCCAGAGAAAAAGTATTTTGAAGTAAATGGAGTTAGCTGCTAGGCGTGAAGCACGAGAGAAGTTCAATCATTTAGACATTTCTTGACATTTCATCAAAAAAGGAATTAGAAATAAACAATAATCGAAGATAATGCAGTTCTTTGGAAAGAAGTTCCAAACATCTGCTTAATGAGTGAGATACTCCAAATTTTCGATTGCAAATTCAGGCAACGAACGAAATCCATAAGAACAAACACACAAAACAAACCTTGACGATTCTCGGATGGCAATGTCCTTGATTAACAGCGGAATACGCCGATAGGAAATCAAAATAACTTTTACCGTCAACGTCCCAAACTTTTACACCTCAAGTCATTCAACAATTACTTCAAGTAGAACAAACATTCTTCAGCGCTATTCAATCTCTTTTCAGTGATTTCATTTTAATAACAATGACATCTAGTTGTAATAAAACATTTTCCGAATGTATATTACATATATTATACACACATATGTACAATATATGATTCACTCAGCAACCTGATAGAATAACCCAATTATTTAATTATTCACTTAGTTATTCATTAGTTCTTAGTAGTGTTGGGTCGCGTCGGGGACGAAACAGGCTTGGGAGCTCAGAAAATTCGTCGGTAACAGAGGTCTCCGACCCAACTTAGGTTCCTACAGTGCGCCACGTAGCTTCTTTATGGTAGATGATTAGTTAGGGATGAATGGTTTAAAAGACCATATGAGAAATGTATTTGTCTCAAAGTCAAAAGAACCTCTAAAATGACGAGATGTGGGGTGAAATGTTAGCTAAATTAGAACTCATCATTTTTTAACACACAATTTAGATCGCGAACTGAAACAAAAATTGAAGATGGGCCATAGTAATTGGGTAATTCATTCGCGATTTTCGTGCGATATTACAATAGCAAAAGATTTGTTAGTTGGCGTAAACATCATAGCTGATCAGAACAAACCTTTTCCTTTCGAAAGAGCAACTGGAAGTGGATGATAATTATGACATCCGAATTTGTCCTCCCGATCGAAAATTTGTTGCTGAGACAATTTTTGCGCAGATGATGAAAATCGAACACCTGATTTCGAAATGTTGCAACGAGCAAACAGGTTCAATGCTGGTTGCAATCGGCGATACATTATACAAGAGTTTAATTTATATAATCAACGACAGGTACTTCGACCTTATATTCTCTATAACTGAAAATATTCATTTCTATTATCGAGTTTCCACAGGGAAACGACACCAGATTTCGATCATCAAGCGATTATTAACAGTGTAGTTTGCTTCGAAAAGAATTTGAAAAGGGCGAGCTTACAGTGACCTAGCGGTGTTATTTGATTATTACGTAAATCAATATTATCATAATAGCACTGTTTCATTGACTACTTCGTTATTTGCATGAGACATTAGTGCATTGGTTCAGAAGCGAAACGCAGAAGTTTCATTCCCATGAACAACGACAAAGGTTAAAGACTTCTGCGAAGTGAAAAAACTGGATGCGAGAGTTGCATATAAGGAGGACCAAACTGTTGTTTGTATCGAATGACTGATACGTAATTATCGAATATATACCTGTGTGTAACAATTGGACAACTGCAGTCAAGAAACTGGTCATGAGATCACTTACAGCAAAGGAATGACCACGATAGAGAAGAGAGTGTAAAGACAAGTTAAACTTATGACGTTATGGATGCTAGTTCACTGAATGAAAATGATAACTGGTATCAGTTGAATCTGTACAATCAACTTATCGATTTCTTACAAAATTCCTTACAATGCATTCAAATATTTTAAACTCCATATCGCAGCAATTGTGTTGAGAATAATCGTTGAATATGAAATAAATCTGGAAAAAGGTTCTGTCTCTCCAATAATATGTGCAGCTTAAGAAAATTGTTATCTCAGGCCCGACCCTAAATGCTTTGTTTTAGCAATGCAACGGTAATGAAATATTTACCTTATCAGAGAATTTTAAATGAAACAACCTTCGAATGATGAACAACGGAGAACAAATGAAGAAATAAATTTTTCAGCCTTGGTTGATGACAAGTCATTCTTTTCAATTCATTCCTATTCGATTGTTTAATAGGCAAATTTCTGTAGTTGCGCAAATTATTTTTGTAGTATTCGATCATGATTAATAATTAATTCACTATTCATTCTTTGTTGTTTGTCTCATTCATTTATGTGCTACACAGCATTACCGAAACGAGACGCTTCTTTAATGGTGACTCGTTGTTTCGAAAGCAGAAATTAGTTTACCATCCAACAAAACATGTCGAAATCGCAAATGGTTACTCTATCTTCAAATGCTAACAGTTAGCGGTACGTTAAACACATAGTTGCAGTCGGTCGGTCTCATCACAATAAAATATTATCACACCACCTTTATGGAATAGTCCATCTGTTATGCAACTACTCGCATTTCATGGTTTACTTCATCGAAACTGTTTGCGAGTTGAATGATAGATACTGCGTATTTATATGTTGTGAAGCACTTACGCATAAGAAAATGAAATTGGTCGCAATTGTACGCATAAGAAACGTTGAAGTACACAGTGCTGTAATTTTAGCGTGTCTTAAACTGAAATGAGAATACGCATTGCCCGAATGGATCACTGATTTTTGTGCTTAATAAAAAACCGCTAGATGTTATTTCGAATGTAGATCACATGAGTGAAAAAATGGGAACATATGAAGGAGACGTGTAAAGAAAGATAATGCTTGATTTGTTTAATGCATGTTTCACATGATATTATTTGCAACACACATTGATAACAGTGTAGCAGTATTATCAGCAATGCTTGCAGCGCTTTGGATTATAATTATATGTTTAGTTTCATAGATGTTAGCAAAAATTAAGCCTAAATGTGAGGCAATCCAATTCAGAACTTTCGAGTTTTCAACGTTCTTACGCTACCCTTGTTGGAATGTTTTATGATTAGTTCATCGGTTCGAATTGTTTCATGAATTATGAATGTTAGTTTAAAGTTATTAAGAATGTAGCAAAAAAAGTCATCGAAAATTACGGAATACATCTTACATCACTTGCGGTGTTCTATCCGTGAGACATGTTCTACGAAAGCAAGAAGCCTTTTTTACTTCATACTCGATTATGGTAGTGATAGAAATCGAGTATAGCTAAGAGTTGTGCAGTGTAAAAGCAGTCGAAATTGTTTTTGAAATGTTTTACTTCACATTTCATTTTGAAACAACCCACTGAATGAAACGTGCGAAATTCATTGTGATAACGCTCAAAAAAGTTTTCAAGTGACTGTAAAGAGACCTTTCGAAATTCAGTGATAAGGGAGAAAACAACAAAATAAAATTTTCAGTCTATGGAACAAAATTATGAGAAGGTTACGCAAGAAATTTGGAATGAATGATAAGTTCTTGCATTCGAAATAAACATAAAATAAAAGTGTTAAGAAAAGATTGTTATCATAAAGTCGTGAATAGAGACAAAATTCATCTAAAGCTGTATGGATTTGTGAGAACTTTTCTTTCGCAGTGTGCAGCTTGAATTTTCCAATAAAATACGAATTGAATTGGGTTCGTTGTCAGCATGTGTACACTTAATGTAACGCGTAAGCTTAGATCAATACCACAAGCGAGAAAAACGTTCAGCCGTAAGTAAAATGCTTTTTATGCGATGCGAATCAATACTTTCCGAGCTAGTCACAACAGTCACCGCGATCACGAATCATTGTCATTCATCATGTTTTTTTCATCGAACAACGAATTTTACGGTGATTTGCATTTTTTAAATCACTTTTTGATAGACGACTCTAGGATTCTCAACACTGAAAGTGTTACATTCGTTTCATCACTCATAAACAGAAATACGCAAAAAAGCACAGAGCGGCTCACGCTCAGAGTTTTTCCTTTCATTGTTAATTCGATGCAATTACTCTGATGTATGGTCATTTATATTATTGCGCAAAATATTTGCTACCAAATCGAGAAGAAGTGCATTTCTGATGCATTTGGAAACACGATGAGTCGTTTGAAAAAATGATGAAAGAAATGGACCAATTGAAAGAATTATAGAAGAACCAAAGAACTTGCAAAAAGTCAAAAAGAATTACAGCAGCATAAGAGTAATAATTTCATTTGTTCCATCCGCCTTTGAAGAATAAGCAATAGTTCAGCGATGATGGCCATTTTGGTCCGTTCGATTGGGTCATTTGATTGGATTGAGTGAATGTTGATTTGGTTTTATGCACTAGTAAAAGGATAAGGGTTGACTGACAACTGATTGATCGATGGCGATCAGTTGATTTATAAAACAGTGTGTCAACAAAGTGTTTTGAGGCAAAAATAAACCCTTGAAAAATATTCCCAGTGTGAATTCTGTAAATGAGGCGATCGACGGAACAAATTATCACTCCAAATCCAAAAACTGATCAGCGATCTTTGTCATGAATGCATGTATTAGTACCCATAGCAGCGATCTATAATCGACTACAGATGCATGATTTTCAATGTGAGTTGAATGATGTTAAAATAAACATTTTACTCTACATCACAACAGATTACAAAAAAATCAGCGATGAATTTCGTTCACTCTGGATTTTGATGGGTTTTCTCCGTGTTGAAGACGCGAACGATATCTTCCTTGGGTAAATCCAAGACCAAATTCCCATTGTCCGGGTGCATTCGTATGGTCATGTGTGTTGAAGAGTGAATTGTCTCCAGATATTGTGCCTGGCATATTGCTTCCAAATCCTTACATGCTTCAAGACACTTTTCGTCCAGCTTACGTTGTTCCGGTGATAACTGAATCCGATCACATCAGAGGTTTAATTACACTCTTATATAAGCATATAATAAAAACAAATTTATGAAGTGGTATCGGCTGGAAATCACATTCTTTGTTTGGAAAATCACACATTCTCGGTATTCGAATGAATCAACACTTCACCGGAATAATTTGAAAGAAATGGGTTCATTTCGTTCCTTTAAAGCGTTTCCAGCGAAAATCAACTTGATAAATGGACAAATTCAAATATGATTTTGAGGAAGTGTTGAAGCAAAATTAATAATGTATTGGTAACGACGATGCAATAAATGAATACTGCAATGAAATCAGTGACAGTGGTTCATTGAAATCATCAATGAACACTGCAATGAAACCCACGATAGTTGTGAGGTAGAGCACCACCCAACCAGTAATCAATGCAACTCACGTTTGTGGAGAGAAGTTCTAATCGAAACCAAGTGTTATACCAATGTTAGTGATTTCTGAGTTTTATTTGAGAGTTATTACAATCTCAGCACAATCATTAGGCGGAGGCTGAACGGTTTCCGCGATAGCTCAGGGTTGGTGTATAACTTTGCCGAGCTTGAGCCAGGCTATGATCTGAGCAATCACTATTCAAAACTCACTTTGGAAATAACTTCGACAGTAACGTAAAATAAACGTGAGATAAGTGTCGTCACGCAATCGTACCCATTCGATAAAGCAGTCTTCATCCAATCGAGCATCTTCGTGCACTTCTTACATAGCTGCAATCAATTCCTTATTATTCCAGCATATTTTAAGCCTACCTCACTAATAAACTATTCCAGTGCAATCGCGAACTCTCAAGTTAAACTCAGAAGTCAACGATATTGGCACACCACTCGGCTCCGAGCAAAATTTTCCTTTGCGAACATGACTCAAACCCGTGATGTCCCAATTACCGGTCAGGGCTCTGCCTCTGAGCTATTCAATTTCAGCACAATCACCCAGTGGAGACTGAACGTTCTTCGCGATAGCACAGAGTGGTGTACCAATATTATTGATGCCGCCGAACCTGAGCCAGGTTATGATTTGAGTGGTGTACCAGTTGTCAGGAATCACTAATCAAAGCTCACTTTCGAGAAAAACGTGCCAATAGTGTCACGTGCCAATCCAAATAAATATCGAAGTTTGTCGCCCACGGCATTCCTCAAGCAATCGGGTATCTTCTTCCAGATCTCCCACAGCTGTAATCAATTCCACATCACTCCTTCATCAATTCATCACATAAAATATTTAAATGCAATCGCTAATTCTCAAATAAAAGTCACAAATCACTGACATTGGTACACCACTCGGTTTCGAGCAAAATTTTTCTCCGCAAACGAGAATCGAACCCACAATGTGGCAGTTAACGGTTGGGCTCTACCTCTGAGATATTGCAATTTCAACAGAGTCAATCGGCGGAGTCTGATCGGTCCGCGTGATAGCTCAGTTTGGTGTACCAATGTCACTAATGCTGCCGAGCCTGAATCAGTCTATGATTTACCAGACTTGTATCTAATTATATGTTTATTGCAAAAATAATATAAAGATATAGATAAAATTGATTGAAAAATTAGATCAGCGTTCAAATATAACACGCACAGTCAAATACAAGAGATATAGGATAACAAGCGGAGCCCGTAGGATAAATTTGCCATCGTATTCTTTGACGAGAAAATACATCTGATAACGCCACACCCGTGTTGAGCCTTCATTGATCTCATCAAAAATATGCCTTCAAACAAAGACATTCACAGTACTCATAATTATTATACTGTTAGTATAATTAATCATGTTACTGTTATTATTACTATCATTAATTTTATTATTAACACCACTAGTATTTATTAACAGTAAGATTATCATTATTAATAAAATTATCATTATTATAATTAACATCAGTAGTATTATTAATAAGTTTCTGTATTTCTGATTGGATGCGATAATGGAAACTCAATGCACCATTCAACACACGTACTGATCATTCCGTTTCATTATCATCACCGGATATATTGCCGTACTCTCTCTTCATTCAGACTTATAATGACACAATTCAATACTGTAATTCGAGAAAAGTCAAATAAATCGCCGACATGTAATGGGATGCAACAAATAATTTTTTGTAAGAGTACAAAGATTATGGTTAATAGATGTTGCTACGCTTATTCAGTGGATTGGTATTCAGTCCTGCTTAATTAAGCAAAGCATTCGCTATGTATCGCCGATCGCTATGAATCGATTCGGTTAGAATCATCATTATGATCCGAAAGATTGATTAATGGTTTACTATTGTCGACTGCTTCAAGCAACTACCTTGAGCGATCATTGAACGCATGTTGAATCGATCAATCGGAATGACTTCTGACTCATTTTGAGTCCCTCTCCCTTGAAACCACCGGGCAATAGGCGAAAGTAGCCCAAAACCTCTTTGCTTGTCAAATCAATAACCAAAATTAGAATTTCAAACCTATTGATCCATAGTGATCAAATGCATATCGATGGGCAGCGCTAGTGGAGATTGCTTTAATAAAATAGCTATAGCTCCTCAACTAAGCAAAATCGCCCGACAANATATATGTTTTTCTGAATGCAGAGATTCTGCTCGATCGACTGGTGTGAAGAAATTGATACGTTACCGGTCAAAGCTGAGAGTACGGTAGGTTTCAATGAGCTAACCACTATATCATTAGGAATGATGATTTCTAACGCTATTATGGTTAGTTGCACGGGAAGAAGGATGTCAAGGAAAGAAGAATGTAATATTGGTGATAGCAGAGAGGCGTTAACTCGTAATGAGTTTTGACTGCTGATTAAATAAGTATAAGAGAGTGCGTGAATAGAATTGAAATGATCATGCAATGGGCCGGTGGTTTGCCGAGGTCACGTTGAGCTTTCAGAATTTGATTAGCTCTGACGGCATGCATTCGTTTCCGCGTCGGTGCAAAATCTCTGTTGAGTTTCGATGTCGATGTTAGAGAAATTTGAATAGAAAGGAAATGGAAAGGGCTCAGTTTGGAGAGTTAGAAGTTTCAGAGCAAGCAAATAAATTTGACATCGAAATAGAATTATGGAATTAAGGAGTGTGGATTGGTGTACAGTGCGTTGCTGTAAGAGTGCATATACTTTTGTTAGAAAGCTTAAAGTGTGACTGACGTGAGGACGGCAATGAGTGCATTCATGAGTAGTACACTTGCTATGAACAGATAAAGTGCAAGCAAAAGTTGTACGGTGAGTTGACGGATGGAGCAGTCAAAAGCATCCACTGTTGAGAATAACCCAGCCTCGGTGATGTTATCTGGACAACCAACTATCGCGCCTGAATGGTCGTTAAAAATTGTTTAACTTTATTATTTTTTATTATCTATCATTATCAATTACATTGTCATTATTATTACTTCTAATACCACTATTATTATTACTAATATCATCATTATTAGCATGATAACAGTATTGGAATTATCAATTTTTTGTGATTATTTATTATACTTTAAGGAAATTGTGATTTTGCTATTCAATGCAATTATTAAAGGACTGAAAATAATCGACTACACAATTCGAAAACAGAAATAACAGAAAGACATTCCATACCCGTGCTTTGCTCTTCACCTAGTTCACCAAAAATATCCCAAAGACCATGGAAGAATAAACTGCGAATAGTGCGGAGAGATGGCACCAAATTCAAATCGATAAGGGCTATACTGCAGATGCTATATGCCACCATAAACACCAGAAAGAACGTGAAAAACATCCACAATGCTTGACTCTTCAATAGAAATTGACTCGATTTAAACATTCGAAGAACATTCTCCAAAATTTTACAGTAACGTTTTTGGGATACAAATCAGTGTTTCTCATCCTGACCAATATTGCTCAGCGGTGGAGAGAAAACGACATATGGGTGGGATCGGTAGTTGGACGATTTTGGACCTTACAATTAGTGGATGACTCAGGCGAATTTATGGGATTTAGACGATAATGATACCTTTTAGGATGATGTAGTGATTAAAAGGGACTCAAACTGACTAGCCATGTTTTAGTCGTCGCTACTAGTGGATGTTCGAAAGTGATGGTGAATATCATTGTATTTAATGACATGTCCCTTTGGCTGCATTCGTATTATTTTGTTTAAATCTTTTTCGTATTCTAACAAAAATTTTATTTCGTATCAATTTTAGTAATGCTTTCTGCAAAAATTGTGCAAAAGGCTCTTGCATCTAGGCCAGCCCGAAAGTGTAGAAATTCGAGTTAGCCAAATTCTAAAGTGTCTTACCATTCTTGCGATCGCAATTACTTTTGGTCCAAAATATGGCATGATGAAAATAATTTTGAACACTCGTAAATACGAAATCGTCAATGCGCTGAGTAGTAGCAAGTGACCGCATAGGAATGACTGCAATGACAAGGATATTTGTTCGTGACTGTTTTGGAGATGATTGATTACAAAGGTTCATTTTTAAAATAAACTGTGAATGAAAGTCATGCGTATTCAGTTTTCTTAAATTTAAAAATGAGCAGTTTAACAATGTGAAACGCTTACAAATTTTGATGAATGCAAACGAAAGAACCATGAAAATGTCATAATAATCATATGACAAAAATCTAGGTTATGCCAGGTCGCAAACGTTCCACTTGTGGGCCAGGATATGAGGCGTGATTTAGATTGTACTGATAACCATGAACACCTCTGAAAGCGATAAAGCGCTGCTATTAATTGACTGTAGCAAGTAAATATGTTTCGTTAAATGAACAAAATTATTTGGTTGTATCGTAGTTATGCATGAAAGTGTTCACGGTAGTGATGGCACTTAATCGAAGTTCGGTCAAAATGTGAATGCGGCCGGATTGCAACCGAAAGATTCTTCGACCGGAATTCCGAATGCCGGGATGCTGGAAAATGAAATTTGCGATCGAGCTATTCAAAAATTTTCAGTTCGTTCGGATTCCGACTGCAGTTTGCATGGAATTCCGGGATTCCGAGCTTAAGGCTATGCAAATTCTGAGATTCGGATTCCGACTGAACAGTTTTGAAATCCGGTCGGAATTCCAAATGTCGGAATCTCAAAATGGATTCGGCAGGTGGATTCTTTGGGTAAGCTCAAATGTACCAATAAAAATTACGGTAATGATTAATTCGATGTAGAACGACAGCTGACAACCGTAAAGAAACCATTCCCATGACGATACTGCATCACGCTGATATTGAAAAAGGACCACGTAGGAGAAGAGCAGCAAATAAAGAATATAGAAAATCTGAAATCAACATTACAACATGCCGTACATCAACGAAATAAACGGCTCCCCCTTTTCTTCTTCTAAAGTTGTGTTCTGCTATGATGATATTACGTGAGGTTTTACATTATCATAAAGCACATTTCAATCTAATCACGTTGTACTTTTATGATGGTATAAACAGAGAAGTGTCCAAACTTCCTTTGTTTACCCGACTTCACGTTATGTCTCTTCAATAAAGATGATCACATCTCTGATTAACAACGTTTCTATTCCACACTTTCGGCAAACTTTGCCAATTTTGTTCTGTTCCATCCCGCAGTTGTTTTCAAAAACAATACGAAATCGAGGGTGTATCTTTTCGAACAGCAATTAACGAACGAACAGAATGAAATGTGAATTTTGAACACGCAGACGTATAAAATGTCGTCAGCTTTTTGATACATCCGAATCGCTCTTGAGGACATCGTTCCAAAGTAATCCAAGTACTGAAACGTTGCATGTCAATGAAATTAATGAGTAAATTTTTGTGATTGCGTGCAAGCAGATAGATCACATAGATGTTGTTAATTATACATTAGAGAGAACAATTCTGAACTGAGGTTTATTGCTGTCAACTGTTAGAATTAGCCCATATAGTTGCAAGAAACTGTAGCTCATAAAGTTCATAAACATTTCACTGCTCATGAACTACTCACTTGCCTCATAACTTGCTCATCAGCTCATAAACTTGCATTTTCATCCACTTTTCATAGAGAGTCGAATCTTCTTTAATTGTAAGTGAATTAAGTTGCTGCTTAACAACAGCACAGCATTCGAAGTGTTAATACTGCAGAACGATTTGAGAAGGGCGCAAAAAATGTGATAACCTGCATTGGTTATTTGATTGTAAGGAAGATTGCAATTGTGGACACCTGTCCATTTTACGATAGACGGTCGGATCTTTTGAATGCCATTTAGCGGCAGCATTTTCCTCATCAAAACGAACAAAAAAGTCGAAAAAAATTAACGGTGGAAACATGAATGCGGCAAGGTATTTCTTTCGATTGCACTCGTAACCTCGATTCCATCTGCGAAATATTTCACTCTGGCATGCCTCAGTTCCGAGAAATTCCTAAAATGTTTGAGAAAATGAGCAGGGATGTCCAAGATCCGGAACAAAAAAAANAAAAAAAAGAAACAAATAGCAACGGCGGTCGGAGCTAAGACATAGGATGTAATTTTTTACGAGATCGAGGTCGACGTTCCCAAAATGCGGAGCTGAAGTAAGAGAGAGAATTCTTTTTAATTTTGACAAAATCTGGGGCCGAAAATTCGACAATTTAGAGACGGAGATGCAATCGGAAATCATAGCCGAAATATCAAAACGGAGCTGAAATCGGTGACGAGAATTCAAAAACGCGGAGCATGGGCCGTGTTTCTGCAAGACGCGAAGCTGGAACTGAAGACAAACTTTCTAAAAACGTCAGGCCCAAACTGGGGCAGTAGACGAGATTTCAGAACATTGGTGTCCTTTCACCAATAACCTCTGGAATTTTAAATTGACACAAACTTGTAAAAAAACAATTATAGGCGAACAGTTCGATGTTCCAAGGGGCCTTGTGAATTGAATTTCATGCTCATGATCTTCATGTAACATAGGCACTGAATTTGTTTCTACCTTAGCATTACCAGCGGCTGCTATTTCCATTAGGCTGAGTTTCGGCCAATACGGATCACTCTCTGATTCCATCAGCTCGGATGTTCGGCATGGATCATGTTGTTGCGCTCGATTGATCAATTCTATCGCGTGATTTTCGAATGTTCTGCAAAGATTTCAATTCAATTCAACGATCGTTAATGACAGTCAAGCAGCAGCTGCTGAGTAGTACACGAGCCGATTTGAATCTAGTCCGAGCGAGAGTAAATCTGTACCGAACGGAAGCGCTCCTCGCAGTGACTACATCGCTGTAACCTCATCACGTGGTTATACTTCACTTATGATTTCAACAATTCATCGTTCCCTGTGGCATGTGTTTTGACCGAACAAATTATCACTGGCTTATCCCCATACAATTAGGCTCCGTTGAATTCGCAAAGTTGGGGAATCATGAAGTTGAAATTTCCCATGTTCGGTGAATACTTTTCTCCGGTTAGTTTGTTTAATCCTGCTCATTCTCTCACTTGTTTCCATCACGTACTTATACGCTACATACATATTCAGGGTCGAAAAAGTGTATCTCCTTACATCCATTGCAAAACATTGTGTGATTCATAATCGACTGCTACATTAACAAAATATTTATTAATCACTGCTGCTTCTTCCAAAACCTATATTAGACCTATGCTAGAGCACAACACTCTTGAAATTTGGTATGTTCGAAGGAAAATCGAAAATACTCCGTTAGAAATGATACAAGGATGGAACATACGAACTGCTCATAAACACGTAAAACAAACTAGTGCAGTTTATGCTGCAGGTCACTGCGCGTAATTTTTCAGTGTAGTGCTATTGTTTCTTTTGATGCTACTGAGAAGCAATTTGCAACCATTCATCCAGGTCATTTGCATAGGAACCGATGTTTAAGGTGAACCTTCCGAACCAGAAATAGCTTATTACACATATATAATGCGATCCTGATTTCCGATCAGTTCAAAATTTGAAATTTTTCGATGGGTTTTAACGACTGATCTGATTTATTGGTTAAGGAATAATTTCTTTGGAAAATATTCAATGCATTTCTCAAAGTTCGTTCAAATGGAACCCATCCAAGTTTCATTAAAACTTAAATTCAACGTCCACAATTCACCCAAGCCATTTGCATAAGAAGGCAGTCACTGAACGAGGAATGATGCGAACGGCTGACGTTCACTGCAGCAGAAGCGTATACCTTTCGATTCGTAGATAAGATTCGACCTTAGTTTCGTCGAAGCGTTTGAAGAAGTGCTTCTTGAACTTGTGCGCCATGAACACAGCGATCAGTGCATTCAACAGCAGTCGTTCGGTTTGCTCCCAGAAGTAGTTGGCCATTTCAAGTCTGCAACTCTTTAATACTTATAATTGCCAACAAAAGTGGATAGAGTAGCGAAAGTCGAGCACACGGAACCGAATTATCTATGTATGATAAGTGGATTATGAGCACATGATTCACGATATTCCAATAACTGCCCCTACGGACAACTGGGATAATTGCTGCCCAGACAGCTGCCCGTTAACAACTTATCTCTGCGATATTGATCTTCGTAAACTTAAGTTCTTTTGATCATACTTTCAATATTACTATCATTAGTACTGTCAGTATTGTTAGATTATATTCTTACTATTAATATTCTTATTGTTAGACTTAGGTTTAGTCTGGGACTGAAGGTGATGCTGACGTTGAGGTTGATGCTTAGTCCTAGGCTGATATTGATGCTTAGGCTTAGGCCGAAGTTCCTCTCGACTCTGTGACCGAACATGTGGCAAACCATGAAGAGGAGTTCGCTATCGCAATTAGTTTGAGGCAAATTATCGGAGGCAGTTCTCCGGGGGACAGCTATCCGAACACGTTATTCGTTGCTCTAAAACATGTGCATGCTGCAAAAGGTGAAATGTTTTTAAGATATTTGTGTGTTAAATTCACGCTAAACAGAACCATGATGGGTAGTGGTGGCATCAGAACGAAAGTTCGGTTCGGTCGGAAACCGACTGAATCGTCTTTTCAACATTCCCGCACTCGGGATTCCGGCCCAACTTAAAAGTTATTCGGGTGAAATTCGAATCTCGCAATTCTGATCGAACGTCAGTCGGATGCCATCACTAATAATCGGGATGAAACAAACATCGAAATGAGGATTGGAATCATAGAATCATTCATACAAAGGAAGGATTACCTGCAAAAGAAAATCGAATAAATCATAAGTTCATGAAATGGATCATTAAACTTTTCATCTTCTTTATCCGAGTCAGAATATTTATCACCATAATATGTGAGGTCTGTCAAAACTTTATTGACGTCTTTTAATTTGAATGATCCATCGTCATCTTTTCCGCGTCGTTTCGTCATCAACTGTTTGAACTGAGAACCAACCAGCGTCTCCTGGACCAACAAAAAACAGTTATACTATAGAATGCTCGTATAAGTTGAATCGACTCAAAATAAATTCCGTCGAAATCATTAGGCACTATGGAGATAGCTCTACATCTCTATGCTCGTCAACTGAATAATCAAAGGTAGAATTTCATGAAGACAAGCGCTATTACTGTTAGGTTCGCGGAAAGAAGTATGTAAGGAAGGAAGAATGTGATATTTATGATACTGGTGGTAACAGAGAGTCATTGAGTTGCAATAAGTTGTAATTTGTGATTAAGTCAATAAATAAGAAAGAAATTGAATTTCTTTCATTGAACCACTAATAATGAAGAGATTAATTGGGACGCCACGAATAAAAAGCCCAATTAAAATATCGTTGACCGTTTTGTGGTACATTGTTTCAAGCACTTTTCGCGTTAGAATTTCTTTCATATCCACGCCAGAGTCGATCCAAAGTTTAACAAATTCGATTTTATCGTCGATAATCAATTGCTGCATCTGCAAACTTCATTAACTTTTTTTGAGTGCTAGATAACTTTCAATGGATTTCTGCCTCAGACTNACTAGTGATGACATCTGAAGGAAATTTCAGTTCGTTTGAAATCCGACTGAATCGACTTTTTAACATTCCGACCGATTTCACATTTTGAAATTCCGAATCTCGAAATTTCTACCGAACGTCTGTCCGATGCTATCATCGGCACTGACCGAATGTTGATATCTATAAGGTTAGCTAAATGTTTAAAATTCGAAAGATTTCACGGTTCGCTAACAATGAAAAGAATTGTGCACTGGAAGAATACATACAAGAATATATACACAAAAAGATGAATTGATTAAATATGTTAAATGTAAGTAAGTAAACTCGAAATAATTTATTTCAGTTTTATATAGTCCATAGACGATGGAATGAATGAATCGTTCATTCGCTCAATAACGTATATATGTGAATTGGATACGAAATATAAAAGACCAGTGAACGACTTTCTTCAATGCATCTATAGAAGATAAGCAAGCACCTTGTCGTTTTGCTGTTGGATATCAGAATATTCAAAGATCTCAGCTGCAAAATCAATATTGTCCCATTGAACGGCCAAGTCGAAGGTTCTTTCATTGGAGAGTTTTGATCGTAATTGTTCAAGAATCATATTATGAATAGCAGTTGAATCATTCGAATCCATCAATTCCACCTCAAATCTATTACCTTTAGATGATGAACTACTAGATACCACATCACTGGATCAGAAAGCTAGATATGTTCAGAACCTCAATGCAAACACAGCGATCTTTCCTATTAAGTTTATGATCTTCGCTTGCTAAACTATGTAAGAAATATATTCAGGTTAGCGCCACATACCTTATCTGATTTGCAGATCGATCTTAATTTATCAGTCAAACTGTTCACTATTTCATCGTCACCGCGCCTACATATGTAGTTTCTTATTTCCCTTCCAGCGATTCTGTCAAATTCATCCCTGAAAATATAGTAAATTATGCTGTGGATCAAGAATGAATAATAATCACATTCAAATTAGTTCCTCATTATTCAGTCAAACGAAGAGATCGATTTAAATTCTTTCTCAGACTTCATAACGATTCAAATCTATACTTACACATCTGTCACAAATGAATAAATCTACGAAAGCGTGATCGTTGCTCTAATGAATAATCAAGCCGATAGAATAACTTCTGATTATCATGTGAATTTATAAGCGCTATTGCAAAAGGCACACTCACATTCTGGACTTAAGTTTTTCAATTAATTTCGCGATGATACCACTTCCCTTGATGACGATCACCGGTTTGTTGTCTTCAACACATTCACATAATCGATCAACTTGCATAACCCTTTCCTTCTCATCATTCGCTCCACTCATTAGTACTGTCATTAATGGAACTTCTAAACGATTAATATGAAAAATGTGACGACAAATATTAAATTTTTACTTTTCAGGAAGCCAGAAGAACTTAGTGTTCCCATAGAGAATACAGCTACTCAGAGAGCACTTGAGAGCCGTGAACACTTAGGTTCATACTGAACATATTTCAAGTTGTGCGTGGAAACATCATAACTACATCATGCCATTTATTAAGACAGTTACATCATAACTACATCATGCTTTGTATTAACTGACCGCAACTGTTTAATGTATTGGATTTTAATTACATTCATTCAAATTCATTTGGACGACAGAAGAGCAACGATATTAGTTACTTTTCTCGACGATCAGAAGATGTTCGAGTTTGCTTCGAAATTCGTTCTCGTCCATCGTCGTTTCGTTATCAAGTGCTGGATGGTTACTGATATTTGAATCAAAGACATTCTACAACACATCATCATTTCTGTTTTAGTCGTGGCAAAGCCTAAGAAAAAACTTGCGAATTTACCAGCAGCGAAATACAGGTTTCACCTGATGATATCATGGGTGAACGATCTCCTTTAGGAGATACATTACTTAATTTATAGGTGCCATTTAAATTATGCATGGGTCGTTCAGAAATAAAACAATCTTCGTGGAAATTCAACTGCAGTACCGTATTATTCATTGTTTAGTGTTGGTGTGGAGCGGTATAGTGGATTATGCGAGAATGAAAAGTGTTGCAAAAAAACGCAAGCAATGCGTTTTTCAGATGCTTCGCTTTCGTCTGAAATTTGAATACTGTCCGATTCAGACTTATGCCAAGTCTTACAGTTAGACGTTGGCCTGGGCTCAGGCTCATTCTAACGCTTGAGTTCAACTTTATGCAGATGCGAAAAACGATTGCTTGCTTTTCGGTTCCCAAGCAAAAATCGTTTATTTCACAACCAGATGTCAGCACGTTTCATTCGTCGACAGCATCCTCTCGAAATATCACAATGTATAGGGGTTCAGTGAATTCACGTCTACATCTTGCGTCATTCCGCGGTACCCGTTCAACTTGTCAGGTTCACTTACCTCTCGTGACTCGGTTCTGAAACGATCAGGTCCATTGTTTTCAGATCCGTTGTTCTGCTGCAATGCCCTTGTTCGAGCAAATATTCTTGTGATCGCCTGAATTCATAATTTGAAAGTATAATAAAATCTCGACAGTGAATAATATTAGTGTGTTTGATGCGGAGAAGAATGCTTTAAAGATGTTAATAAACATTCCACGAGCATACCTGTTCAAGACGGGAACTGCTACTCGTTACAATGAATACAGCGTCCGTTGAATCAATCACCTCAAAAATCCTTAATCATAGCCGGAACAGACTACGATAATAATAATGTAGTTTTATTACCAAATAAGACACTGCTATAGCTGGGGGGGTACATACACCCACGCACAGAAACATTCCCAGCTTGTGTTAGTAGGTACACCCATCTAACAATGAGATTACGCATGGACTTCGACTTGGTGGACGCATCAGCGCGTGTGTGTGACTGCGCCCGGTGTAGCCCCTCAGCTATAGAAGTACTACAATGTAGTCATTATTTCAGCCAACCTTGCCACGTTCTATCTGATCGTGAATAATATTGACAAAACACTTTTAAGTTTGCTGTTTTGAGTGAAACTTTCTCCCGTGTCTAATTCTGATCCTAATTGTTAAGTGAGCAGAATGTTGTAGAAATTAACAATAAAATATTCTAGAAAATCTAGTAGCAATGAAGAATCGACTGTGCGAGATGCATACTTTAACTAGGCGATAATATTGATCAAGATGATACTGTTGGCGACGACCTCCGATAATCGAAATTGCCAATTCGTGCTCCTTTTCACTCAGTTTTACCTTTAAACGATCCAGCTCTTCGTTGGGTATTTGTTTGCCATCTGAGTCGATTGTTACGAACTAAATTTTATTGTGCAATTCATGCGAAACACAGAGCATGCAACATAACTTGTGATGGCACGTTGCCCCAATGAGCGCTTTTCATTCGCGAGGGAGCAGCCCCTTACGCACGATGAATTACATTACAACCTCCTTCTTAAGCAAGTTAGTAAGATAGGTGCAGAAGTTAAGCATTCACTAAAGTCAAACATCTTCAACACCCTTCAACAATTCCAGAACTTCATGAAGATTGCAATAATTTACAGTATTTACAATAATGAAGTAAAGATTACAATTATTTTTACGTTTGACTATTCCGTTTTTTGTAAATTAACTATTATTCTAAGTTTTGTAGGCTGTATCAGCATCAAATAATTTTACTATTGCTGATATTCTCACGACCAGGCCACCAAATTTATTGCACCATCCTCCGGGGATTACAAACTGTATTTCAATAATAGTTGGCCTAAATGACGATAACAGTGGAATATAAAAATCAGTTGAGCAGTCCAAAATCAGAGTCAGCAAATCAATCGTACAGAAGCAGAGACAAAACAAATTGCTACATAATTGATTCAATGCTAGTAATGACTTTCATTAGTTGTTACAAGCCTACTCCAGTCTTAGGTTTACAAGGTATTTGGTTATCAGGTGATCAAATATTTCTTCTCAATTTCACAGCAGATCTGTTTTCTTTTCAATGCGCCTAGACTGTGAAGAATTTTCAATTCCTTGATAATTGACTACTGAACTTGTTAACGAAAAATATATTTGTGTGCTTGATGGCATGCTTTTTTTCCGTAAAAGACTTCAAGATGATGAAAGTGAAAGCTGAGATCTGCTGCCACCTGCTGTTGTACCGCTCAGAAACGACACTGAACATTGTGTTTTGTGAAAATTGTAACTGCATTCTGCTTTCTCAATCAGTTTAGAAGTGTTCCGCCTTTTGATCGATTAAAATATTCAGTTACGCATTGAAACTACGCACCAAGGGCCCTTGCTCCAGCTGGCCAATTGATTGTTCGGGTGTTATAAATGGTTTTGTGACATCTTCATATACAACCTGCCAGAAGCGCCAGTTACGCATTCAAGCTGAGCTGAAATAGGTGAATTTTATTTCATTTAAAACAACAATAAAGTGTCATCGAAAAGATTTTCAAAAAACAAAAACGACGAAACATAGAAAATTATTAAAATTGATGGTGAATCAATCAAGAGATATGAAAAAAATGATGGCAAATCGATCGAATGAACGAAATGAACGCAACAAAGCAGCATCAATAATAGGACGAGATGACTGGACATCAGATGCACTGACGATGTGATGGATGATGACTTACTTTGATGTGTTCAAAATAGTGATGGCATCCGAACGAAATTTCAGTTCGGATGCCATCGCTAATTTGAGCACATCAATTCGGAATTCTGATCGAACTCCAAAACTATTCGGTAACAATCCGGCTCTGTGGGATTTTCCGACCGAACGCCAGTCGAATGCCACCACTAGTTGAATGTCGCGAAAGAGAAACGTTTTTTTCACTGAATATGATGGATGGATGCTATGACGTTGATACATTGCTAAGTGCAATGCAATACCTAAGTAGTAGATAATTTGATAACGTGATAAGCACTTAGTTGATAACAACTTGATAAACATTTTTGAACACATGAATAGATGAGTGTGCGTTGCAGTGCGCTTTTTTGAATAACGTGGAATGATTATGTAAAGTAATTAAAATGATTATGCAAACGGTAGTAAATGGAATAATTGAGTGAATGAAGGAAATAATGCACAAATAGTACAGTGACAGCATACGACGTTTTGTTTTTGCTACAAAATTGATACTAGTTTACGAATTCAGGTTCTAGTGTTTACGAACATTTCACCTAGCTTCCAATCTGTGAACATATCCGTAGATCAACTCTAGCATTTTAATTTCATGATTATCCACACATGATCCTGAATCCTGATACTTATAGATGGCTTGAATATGGTTTGGGGATGTCTGAATGTGAACTGCTTCAATCAGTACAGTTTAAGTTGATGTGGTGCTGAGATCAGGGAATTTCGGGGACCCCGTCCTCGATTCCCCGTTCCCATCCCGACAATTTTTGTCGAGCGCATTTTCGGGTCCTCGACTACACACACAATTTTGTCTCCGACTTTTTTCCATCCCTGCATCACCTTAGTTTAATAATAAAACTGGAACTTATTGGTGTCTGCCAGAAGTGAATTTTATTGCAACGAAACCAAAATTAAATTCTCTGTGCTTGCGTAAGGTGATCGGTGATGAGATGGTGTGAAGATCGCTATGCCTGATTTTGGATTCTGCAGTTTGGACTATTCTGGAATATATGATGTGTATCTATCGCTACATATTCTCGTAGTTTGGCTGAACACAATTATGTCTTCTTCTCTAATCTTCAGTGCAATTGAAAATAAATAATATCTTGCATTCAAACTGGAACTCATATCCATGTATTGGACATAAAAATTAATCACGACCTGAAGACCACGAGAAGTTCAGGCATTAAGCGGATTTAAAACCAAACGAGACTGCGTCATGGAAAACGAGCGGGTTAAGATGAAGACGTTCAAAGTGAACTGAGATTAGCGTTGGCCTCATCCAAGCTGAGTCTAAGGCTTTGCCCTAACACTACGCTCACACTCAAACTTAAATCTCGAAAATTTTCCACCCACAAATATTCAGCAATTTCAAACCGATTTTCAGGAGATGCTATTGTTGACTAGTGCTATTATGTATTATTATCAGTTCCTTTTATTGATATTACTATTTCATATTCATTGCATATTGTTGCATATGCTTCTTACCTTAAAGTGCATATCGTCCACTCAGATCGTACTTTCTAATCAGTTCATAATGCCTGGATGAATACTGCTACCTTTGTCATCACTATTGGTATTATTATCAATCCTTGTTCACACTTAGTTTGCTTTTATTATTTGTACACTTTTTAATTTTCTTCTCTTTGTTTTTGTCATATGAATTTACTGTTCCATTTATTTATTCAATAACAATTACAATTGCAATAAAGTACATTATCACCAATTTGACAGTCTACTTTCCACACAGCTAACGATATCAGCGTCTGGAACCACCCGGCTTCATCAAAGCCGTTATTGCTTCGACGAGCACAGAGGTGTTAAACACTTGACTGCGAATCTAAACTGGTCCTTCCTGTTGCCAATCAGTTGATAGCACCCGCTCGAAAAAATCAGCCGAGAATGAAAAAAGAAGAAGCAATTTCATTGCTTCTTTTCTTCACTACACGTATTACCGTTAGACGATACGTGTAGTGAAGAAAAGAAGCAATGAAATATGTCAAGTACATAAGACCGCTGCGGTAAATCTCATCCAAATTCTTCTGATAAACAATTTTTTCAATATGAAATCAAACATTCAAAAATTCAAATAATCAAACAAATATTACATTTTTATGACGTTTCCTTCCATCAACATTTCACTTCATAAATGACAAAAGTATCTTACGATCAGCAAACAAACATTATGAGTCATCGAATGCTATTATGATGTGATAAGAGTAACAGTGTGATACAATAACAACAATATTCAACCATATGATAACACCTCTCACCACATTCGCAGCTGAATTCGCTCTTTCCGATTAACAATTATAGGTTCCATTCAGATGCATTTTTTGTGATCTTTGAGAACATAATTCTATTAAAAAATATAGAACGAAATTAATCAGCTTATCGTCTGTAACTGTTGAACAGACTGATTCTGGTGGTGAAATGGACTTCCACTGCATAATCATAAATACTTACTATTAAATAAAGTCAGAACTTAAATAAAGGATGTCGAAATGAACGTCAAATGTAAATTAACCTCACGCATCTGTAAACGTGAAGGTAACTCTTACGTTTGAACACAAATACATGCTCATATTGAAGGGCGCCTCGTTGAATTACAGACGTGCAAGCTAGATGCAATACCTACCAATCGTAAGGGCGCAGAGAGGAAACAAGAACGAAGTTATTTCCACTACAAGTGACCTATCATTCGAATTGCCTCTATTTGAGATAAATGAAGAGAGCCGAACAAGAATTTAAGTCCCAACAACATATGCGGAGCATATACTAGAAGTGAATGCAGATCGCAGTTGAATAATTCTCATTTGAATTCTATTTCAATACTAAAACAAAACAAATGGTTGACTCACTGAACGCTGAAGCCATGCAATTTCTGTATTCAACTGATCACGAAACGTAATGAAAGTAAAATCTCGCCGGAATCGAATCTCGCCACTGCGTTAACTCGCAGAAATTGCTCACGCTCACGCACCAAATCACACTCGCAAAGATCAACGCTACTTACCAACCCCAACAAATGGTAAACACTTCAAAGAGAATACCCAAATCATATATTATCGTCCACGACTTGTTTGCTAGGCTGAGTCTTCTCAACCGTAAGGTTTTGCGCAATTAGGTAGCCTCTGAATCCTTTGTCGAACGCTTCGTACAACTCATTAATCACTTTCAACAAGAACTGAAACATCAAATAAACAGTTAACTCTCTGTTCGAATTGGACTAATCTGATGTTAGGCTTAGCATCAATCTAACATCTAAGCTCAAGCTAAAGTTTGAGCTCGTCCTTAAGTTCAAACAACCGACACTTTTCTGAATGTCCCTTCGAAAATGGTAGGGCAGGCAAAAAAAACTTAGGATATATTCTTTCCCGAGAACAAAGATAATCTAATCCAGTAGCTTTCATATGCCTAAACTACTTCCAGTGGGAAGATCAATCAATACGTTCATAATAGCAATAGGCGGAATGCGATCTTCGAGCTAACCGTCTTTTCAGGTTTGCACGGAAACATGCGAATTTCTTTTCACCGTTCGATCCAG